ATTTTGGCCATTTTCGAGAATTCTAGCCATGTCTTCCACAATTTTTCCAATTTTTAATAAGAATTTTTAGTTTATATGAAAATGTTCGGTGTTGGGCGCAAATTTTTGAAATGTTTGTGAAAGATGTATGAGTGAATCACTATGGCTGTAGAAGTTTGTTACTGGGAGGGGCCAAGATGGCTGTATAGCAAACAGGACATTATGAGTCATGCAGGGGCAAAAATAGATAGTTAATAAGGAAAGGGGATACAAGTCGGTGACAGAGCTGTGAGAATTTTGTGCAGAGAAGCCTAGGAGTCCAACAGAGACTGGGCAGGTCCATACTGAGGGACCAAAAAAGAAAGGGAAGTGGCAGAGGTGTGGCAGAGGCATGGTGGAAAAGCCAAACAGGGAGACTGACGCCACCCCTCCCCTGGTGGATCAGGTGAGATGCGAGGTTGAGAGTCCCCGACCCGACCCCTCGCCTACGCCTGGCCCTCCGCCTCCTCGCTGCAGCGGCGGGGGCTTGACCCCGCGTCCCAGGCACGGAACACCGTCCTCTCCGCCGGGGTCGGGGTCCCGGGGACTGAGGGCCGGGGCGGGGGCCCGCCGTGCAGGAAGGGCTGCTCCCTTCCCCGCGGCTCCCATCGAAGGACACTTGCGCCGCGAGCCAGGAAGCGGGAACGGCTGGCGGCGCTTGCAGCTCCGCCGCCGCCGGGGCTCCCTCCGCGGCGTCTGCCCCTCGAGGCTCCCCGCTGCGGGTGGGAGAGGAGGGGTCTGCAAACCTGCCGCTACCCTGAGCGAGCAAGTCGGAGAGGGGGCGCCCTGTGAGGTCCGTGTGGCGGGGCGCGAGCCGCCCGGTGGGTTCAGTTAGTGAATAAATACTCAGCGCATCTGCGAGTCTGGGAGGCTGTTCCCAGATGCCGGCTCAGCCAGAGCGGGGAAGACCGCGTCCCGGGGTGGGGAGCGGCACCCTGAAGCGCGACTCTGCCTTTTAAACAAGTTGTGCCGGAGAAATCCAGCCTGTGCCGGAGACAGCGCGTTCCTGGGCGCACATCCCCAGAGCAAACTCCAGCCCGCTCCTGTCACGTAGCCACTCTGCCGGGAGACCGGAGGCCAATGGACTTTTGGTCCCCACCCCCCACTCCAAAATCAAATCTAACCTTTCTGGAGCAATAATCCCCTAACCTTGTTTTTGCAGTGCTGGTCTGATCTTATCTCCTTTCCCAAACAGAAACTTCCTTGAAGACGGGGCAAATGTCTGATTTATCTTATCTTTCACCCGGCACCAGCATGGTGTCTGGGATGGGAAAGTGCATAATGGATGTTGAAGACAGGGAGGCAGAGAATGCTCCCAGGGCAGGCTGGAAGTGTCCAGGTGGTTTACCCGAGAGGTATTCCGAAAGAAAATTGCGGCACTGGACCCAGTATCCAGTCTTGCCGGGGGAAGGCTTTGAAGCCAGCAGCCCGCATGTGGAGGGAGAGATTCTGGTATGCTTGTTAAATGGTGAGTCACCTTGCCGCTCAGTCACACGCTAGGGCTGCGATAGAGACAGGGTCTCAGCAGCGCCCCCGCCCCCCCCCCACCACCACCACCAGGGAGCACAGACCACTAGCGCTATTTCATTCAGCAGCCGTCTGTGGACCGTCTGCAGGTTTTGATACCACAGTCCAGGTGAGAAGGGGGGTAACTATGCAAAGTTGCCTGCGAGTCCCAGAGAAGGAATAACGAAATCCACATCCCACGGATGACAGTCCATCCAGCTCTTTATATATGTGTATAAAGGCTCAGAGAGAGATCTTCCTGAGCTAGGCTGAAACCGGGAGCCAGACACTGCATCCTGGTCTCCCACAGGTACTTGGGCCATCTGCTGCTGCCTTCTCAGGCATGCTATCAGGAAGCCAGATCTTTGGAAGCAGAGCAGCAGGGACTCTGATATGGTGGTAGCTTAATCTGGCTGCCTGCTGACCCCCAGTCTAGCTCCTAAAAGATAAATGAGGGGGCAGCATTGTTGTACCCACTGGCATCCTCCGTGAGTGTAGGATCCAGTCCTGCCTGCTCCACTTCCAATCCAGGTCCCTGCGGTGTGCCTGGAGAAGCAGCAAACTGAGGCTAGAAACCCCGTTGAAGTCATATAGAGTGGTACCTACACAGGTCAGGTGGCCTGTGCACGAGGGCTGTTTAAGAAAGGTTTGTAAACTGGTGTGGCTGGAGAACAAGGGATGTAAAAATACAATTAATAGGAGTGGGTGCCAGGTTGTGAAAATTGTTATATGCCATGCTGAAGATTTTATGGACATCGTAAAGCCACTGAGATGCGGGTGTGCCGTACCCAGCAGCACCACCAACAGAAAGACCCCCTGGCAACAGTCTTGGCCTTGGATCGGACACTCTCAGTGGTCCTGAGGTGGAAAAAGCAGGAAAGGGACCAGGAAGGAGTCTAGAGGCAAAATCAGCTAGAATTATGAGTTTGGCTGTGAAGGGTGGGGGTGGAGGGGTGGAGAGAGAATACAAAAATCACTAAACTTTAACAGCAGAACAGTTGATGGTGGCCTCCAAAAGATAAGAATTCAAAGAAGGGAGGGAGGGAGGTGAAAAGTAAGTAACAGGGTGGTGCTGTGGCACAGCAGGTTAAAGCCCTGGCCTGAGGCGCCAGTTCTAGTCCCAGCTGCTCCTCTTCAGATCCAGGTCTCTGCTATGACCTGGAATAGCAGTGGAAGATGGCCCAAGTCCTTGGGCCCCTGCACCTTCGTGGGAGACCCGGAAGAGGCTCCTGGCTTCGGATAGGCACAGCTCCGGCGGTTGCGGCCATCTGCGGAGTGAACCAGCGGACGGAAGACCTTTCTCTCTGTCTCTGCCTCTCTCTGTAACTCTTTCAAATCAATAAAATAAATCTTAAAAAAAAAAAAAAAAAAGGAAGTGGGGCTGGTTCTGTCGCACAATGGGTTAACGCCCTGGCCTGAAGCACCAGCATCCCTTATGGGCACCAGTTCCAGACCCAGCTGCTCCACTTCCTGTCCAGCTCTCTGCTATGGCCTGGGAAAGCAGTAGAAGATGGCTCAAGTGCTTGGGCCCTTGCACCCGTGTGGGAGACCCGGAAGAAGCTCCTGGCTTTGGATTGGCACAGCTCCGGCTGTTGTGGCCATCTGGGGAGTGAACCATTTGATGGAAGACACTTCTCTCTCTGCCTTTCCTCTCTCTGTGTAACTCTTTCAAATAAATAAATAAATAAATCTTAAAAAAAAAAAAAAGTAACCTTCTTCAGATGGTCCAGGGAAAGGCACAGGAGAGTGGCCCCTGGCTGTCACTCAGCAGACTGCTAGGAGGGGAACTTGGGGGTCAGATCACATGAGGGAAGGTGTGTGTGCACCCGCCTCCTGGAGAGCACAGGACCCTGGAGGAAAGGAAAGCAATCAGATACACAGAGCTTTACACACACCTCCTGCCCTTCCCAGGGTTAAGGGTGGGCCCCTCAGGGACCACTCTGTTGGTGGAAACACCACAGCATCTGACTGCAGCAGGTGCTCCTGGATCCCCTCACTTCTGTGACCCAAACCACTCCCCACCCCCTCAGTCCTGCAAGTGGATCCTGGCTCACGGGGATGCGTGAGGAAGGGCGGCACAGAGGTAGGGTGGGGGTGTGGTCAGAGCTGGTTTGATGTGGGAAAGGTATTTATTTGTGTTGGCTCCATGCTGAAGTCAACGTTGAAACTCTATTAATTACTTTTACCAGATGTCATTTGGTATTATTTCCATGCCTCTAATAAACTTTGTTTTTCCAAACCACATGATCACAGTCAAACACATTATCCAGCTGACACTTCGTTAAACAAAACCAGCCACATCTATGTGATAGAATTCTTTGCAGCTATTAATAACAAGATGTTTTTATGTCTCCTAAAACAGAAAAGCATCCAGAATATAATTGGAAAGTTAGATTTTTAAAAGGCTTTATAGAATGAGTCTGTTTCGTAAAATTATTTATTTATTTACTTTTTAACTTGAAAGGCAAAGAAACAGAAAGAGATCTTCCATCCAAATGTCCACAGCAGCCAAAGCTAAGCCAGGAACTCCATCCAGGTTTTCCACTTGAGTGGCAAGAACCCAAATATTTGGGACATGATCTGCTGCCTTCAAGGAGGCACATAGCAGGAAGCTGGAATCAGAAGCAGAATTCAAACCCAGGCACTCCAATATGGGACGTTGGTATCCCAAGCAGCTTTTTTTTTTTTTTTTTTAAGATTTATTTACTTAAAAGTAAGAGTTACACAGAGAGAGAAGGAGAGGCAGAGAGAGAGAGAAGTCTTCCATTCGCTGCTTCACTCCCCAATTGGCTGCAATGGCCGGAGTTGAGCCGATCCGAAGGCAGGAGCCAGGAGCTTTTTCTGGGTCTCCCACACAGGTGCAGGGGCCCAGGCACTAGAGCCATCTTCTACTGCTTTCCCAGGCCACAGCAGAGAGCTGGATCGGAAGTGGAGCAGCCGGGACTCAAACCGGCACCCATATGGGATGCTGGTACTGCAGGCAGCAGCTTTACCCGCTACACCACAGCACCCACCCCCCCAAGAAGCTTCTCAAAAGTATTTGAGGCCAGCGCTGTGGTGCACCAGTGTGGGAGACTCAAAGAAGCTCCTGCCTCCAGCCTTCGGGGCAGCTCCAGCCGTTGTGGCCATCTGAGGAGTGAACCAT